TCAGCCGTTTGACACGAGTTGACATTTTGAAGTCAGGACGGAAACTGGCATCTCACTCGTAGTCGCCGTAATTTATCTAAAATTTACAGCGTCCATGCTTCACACTTTTTTATTGTGAATCTTAAAATTAAAAACTCGAGCAGCAAGGGCGTCGAAAGTGACTAGACACTGGAAGTCACGTACACAAAAGATTTTCACGCCCAGTGAATGGCTACATTGTTTTTATTTTACGATGCACAGCTCAAGCCCACTGCTAACAGCGGAAGCGTAACACCTTGTATTTGGCGGTTCGTTTTAGGATTTCACAGCTGTTTGAGTGAATGAAATGTTCGCTATAGGTGTTACAGACCATTGTTTTTCAGAGAAAATCCTTTCGTACTAAGCGGGTTTTCGTAATAAACGAGTTCGTTCTAAGCGTTGTCAATTACCATAGGGATAATGGATTTTCAAACGGGACTTCAGTGTTCGTTCGTTGTAACCGGTATTTCGTTGTAACCGAGTTCGTACTAACGAGTTTTGGCTGTATATCCCATAATATGAATCAGATGACTCCGTCTTTGGTGAACTTTGACACAAGTGGTCAGTTGCGAAGATGACGTCTGACAGTGTAGTTCATTGACGATCATCGCTGCCGATGTTTAGTTCATGCAATGTCGGTAGAGTATTTTGAGTCATTTGGGCCACGTTGTTTAAACGTACGTGTACTGGTCCAACAGCATCAACCCTTGCCTAACGAATTTGTGTAAGAATTTAACGAAAAATTGGTAATAATCGTTAGTGCTTATTTACATGGGTCCAGAATAGGCGCCGTCATCGCTTAATGGCCCTACAGTATACCTGTCTCTGTTTATAACCGAAATATATGTGTTGGCTGGTTTTTTTTGGGTTGACTGATTCATTCCCTGACTGTATCTGCATACCAACTCCTCTACCCCGGACCATCAAGTCTGTCTTTGGTACGCGAGATAGCCCCTGTGATAGTGAGGAGGAAGACAACTATTGGTATCCTGCTGAGTTTAATTAGACTGGTGAACGGAAGTTTCATCATCTGCCTCGCCCCGTCCCGTCGGAGTCCCATGAATGCCAGCAGGCGGGGGAGGCACCACGAATATGAGTTTTGTTTAACATTATATACCATGACCGAAACCATAGTCTTTTAGAGGGAAGTCTCAAATTTTTCTCGATGATCTTGTTGCTTTGGGTATGTTTTATATGGAAATTATGTTTTGTGATTTGATTTGATTTGTTTTGTTGAGTGCTGACCACATCTCTGTATTTAAGGATGATTCGTTATTGCACGTCAATATGTCCCCGGCTTTTCTCTTTGCTGGGATTATTGAAAGATCAGTTTGAGTGTTATGCATGCTTCGATGGCGGCAAGACAAGTAAATTTCATGCCAGTGTTCTCTGGACGATATCACGTACAATTGTACGTTGCTATGTAGTAATTTACGAAAAGAACTAGTTGTTTACCAAGTGTCCTGTGATATAGCTTTCCACAGTTTTTTATTAGCCTTCGCAGATGAAGTCTGCCGAAGGCTTATAGATTGGGTTCTGTCCGTTCGTTCATCTCTTTTACTTATAACTTTTATATGCTCAGTCCATTTTTTTTCCAAGTTGGTACAGATGTAAATCTCAATGCCATACATATGCACGCAAAGTATTTTTTTGATTCGCCAAAGTTTCATTGTGTTTTTCTGTGATTTTCAACATTATACTCGTACAAGTGCAGAAATTTGCCGGAAAAATCGGAGTTTTAACGACATCTCGCAAGAGAACTGACATACCGTATTGCGCATGCGCCGGTCTAACTGCTGAGGAAATTGCCGTCGATTTCTTCTGAGGATATTGTATTCCGGGACTGTATCTTTCTTTGCACAGGGCTTACTTAGATTAAATTCTATCTCAAAGGTAAGAAACTGTGCTTATTGTATTTATTATGAACTTTGATTTATCCTTTTGTGTCCTGACTTTAGTGAGAAACTAGCGATCGCACAGTGTCACACTTTGCCAGAAAATCAGTCCTGCTATTCTGTTATGTACGATTGCTATTGCCGGTGTTCATTGGCAACTGCTAGCAGATTGAAACTTGGTTTCGTGACGACATATTAGACTAGAATTATCGAGAAAACACAAGTCAAGTTCGGCCAACCGTGACTGCTTGAAAGCAATGATGAAATTGAAAAGTACTGTATTTCAATATCAATGAATCTATCATCACTTTTAAATTACCCTTGAAGTAAATATGATACCTGAGTGCGTTACTACATTGTGACCGGGTGCTCCATGCGGTGTTGAAGTTTATCGGTAAATCGAACGTCTGTCAACAGAGACACATTTTCCCAATCAGCTATTTATTTCGGTACTGAAGTCAGGGTGGCAATTTCAATGTTTAGCTACCATAATTTATCTCTATTATGAGCAGGAAAATAAATTACGGACCTCGATTGAGATGGATTTAACGGCGGCCATGTTTTTAAGGGATATGTGAAACAATATTGAGGAGGGGGTCAAATTCACGTAATCCTCAATTTTAATGATGTTGACTTAATAGTCATATTTTTTTTTTCAAAACTTTGGATATTATTTTATATATTATTTTAATACAACTACAATATGTTAATTAGTATGCAAATTAGCAGCCAATCTGAGACAATGCAATCCAGTTCAAATGAAATTTG